TGTATATGAAAGTCGGCAGCATGTCTAAGACGGGGAATTTTCAAAAGTTTCTAAGTCCGTGAAAAATTCTCAAATTTGTATCTATCAATTTTCATTTTTTGTTTTTTCGAAGAATATCGTTATCCAAATCTGTCTAGAAATTTTTTTGTGTTTCCCCTTCCCTTTCCTGAGAACCTGATTTTGCTAATGCTACCTTGTGGCAAGATCTGCGATTCGAATTGTCTGGAGAGTGTAACATTGCTTGAAACCACATCGTGGCAATTTACGGAACGGATTGTATCTGTTCACACGTTTTCCTGTCATTCCCCTTTTTTAAGTGTCACTCTTCAGATAAAATGAGGTTTTCGATATAATACCTTCAAATAATAGGCCGTTCCTTTCAACTGCATGTGAGCTCAAACTTTTTTATTGTTAACTTCGTGGTGGCAATCATGGGCGACGGGAGGGAGTAGGGCGACAGAGAGAGCTTTCCATCATTTAATGCTGTGTAAAGTGCTCTGAAGCTCATTATGTATAATTTTAGTACCATCCGGACATAGCGGGAAAAGATCAAAATGCCCAAGCGAAGTTTGTCGAGCTTACAGAAGCATATGACTGCCTAAAAGATCCAGAGCGACGGCGATATTACGACAATGGAATTTCTGGCACAGGAGGACGCTATCCTGGAGATCCCTACACTTCTAGGGTAACTTTTACGAATTCTCGTCTTTTCATGCAGTTTTGTGGGAGCTTTCCAGGATTTCCAGCAATATTCACGACCAAGACAAGAAAATATGTATCAAAATGCTGGGAACCCTTTCTATAGCAAAAGCTATACACAGCAGGAATATGAGCGGGTGAATCTCAATTAAAGATGCCCTGGCCGCCAGAACATTTGTTTTGAATTAGATATGGGAAGTGTTCAATCGAATGCGATCGGAACAAGCATCATATGATGAAAGAATGAGACGTGAGAAGGAAAGGATTTGGGACGAATTTGCAAGACAACGTGCTGAACGGTGGAAGGCGTTTCATGACAAGTAAGTCAACCCACTATTTGCATGGTCACGATCGCCATTTGGTATATCAAGAGGACGAATATTTTCATAAACATGTGAATGATTTAGCTCATGACATCTCCGTTAACCCTTTGTCTGAGCTGCCACCTTGTCAATCAAACGAATCTTGACCAACGCGTTTAAATCCTGATACTTTGGTCTGTCACATATTAGTGGCGAGTCCTATGCATCTGGAAATCTTTGTCTCGCTCATTGGTCTGGTGTCCTTCTCTCGAGTAATATCATTGAAACTGCCCATCTCCACTAAGATTTTTTTCAAAATAGTTAAGTAGGCGTTTTGTTCTTTATGTAGACATAAGAAGTAATATTTGTCCTTATTCAAGACTATG